GAAAAACCAGAAAGAAGCTGCGAATGTCAATAGATACCAAACTCACTTTCCGACTGTAAAGAGAAACGCCAACTTCTCCATCTTTTGCCAAGTCGAAAATGGTAGGTTTCATAGACGGAACGAAAAGTAGAGCCCTCAAATTTATAGGAGAGTCGGTCTGGAAAGTCGTTCGATAACGTGGTACGTCAAAGGCGTTCCCGGAAAGGAATTGGTAGAACGATGTGTACTCCTCCTCGCTGACCTAGTGAGGACGCACTTTTGGTTAAAAAGGGAAGCATGGTCATGAATACGAGCGCAGACGCAAAGTCCGGCCTGAAAATCCGAGCAAACGAATAACAATAAAGAAATCTATCAGAATAGCAAACTTCCACTCTGCCATAGGCAATTCTGGAAAACACACACTAACTACCACATGTTGATAATTTCTCCCTGGGGAAGGACCAAAAAGAAAGTATCCTTGCCCGTAGTCCGATTTCTCGACCAAGGATCTTTTACCTTGAGCATGGTCCAGTGACACATCAAAAATAACGTTTTTGCAGCAAAGTTTTGCCAAGTAAATCTACTCTTACTTGCAGAATGTATTTGCTGTCAATATCATTTTGCCCAGACAATGTATTTACTTGCGAGCGCAAGAGGTTGTTGGCCGACCTAGTCAAAATGATCATTCCAATATCCTTCGTCTCTGTCGGTATTTCGTCAGCATTGTTACCTGCTGTTGTGTCTGGCTACGAAAACTTCAGAGAGAGGTCCAAGGCAAGACTAGAAGAAGAATAAATAAGTCGGCAGAAGATCCCTTCACCTTGATTACTAATCCCTATTGCAACTTAAGTGATAGCGAGCCGGTGGTCGAAGTGTGTGTGATGCGGGTCAGTAATTGTCACTGGTGATGGGTTCGAGCGAGAGTCCGAAAGGTCAGGCGAATCAAGCTCTTATTCCAGCGATCGCTTCTACTTCTTACTAATGTTCACATCGTATGGTGCTTATAAATACAACACAGGAAAAGCAGCGGAAATGCTCATGTTTATGCTACCGCGTGTTCCGTTCAATACACATAAGCAGGTAATAGTTGTGCGGCATCACACATTTCAGGGGTATATTGGTAAAACGGTAGTGCTTACCTTAGAAGGATCCTTACACCAGAGAGGCTCAACAACGTTTAACTGCTT